TGTGTGTGTGTGTGTGTGTGTGTGCCAGCACAGTCTCAGGCTCACACTCGAGAAGCACCACAAAACTCAGCAATGTTAAGCTGTGAGCAAATTTATCCGGACGAGAACAGTCGGCGCGTCGCACGTGACCAGTGTTGTTCTCTCCCGATTTTGAGCTCGATTTTGAGAGGGGGAGGACCCCGCGACTGAGCGCGCGCGCGCTGAACGGCTCCACGGGTGGATCCGCTGTATCTGCACGCTCCGCTATCCATGCGCCCGAAACCCTGCTTCTTGCAAGCCTCTCGCAGCGCTTTCTGTCGCCTCAACACCATCACACACCAGCAAGGGTCGCTTCCGCACGTGGACTTCCGCAGGTCTCCCTATTCGTCTCAACGTATCTCGAATCCGGACGACAACGATGCTCCTCACGATGTCATAGGACCCTCAAGGGCGCCTTTCACACTTTCCGCAACTGCGACATCCCTCTCGAATCGAGGCCTGGTCGGCCAAACATCACGCTTTCGAAGCAGCTATCAGCTCACGACTACGTCAGGAAGGGAACGGCGGCCTTTGCCCACCGACATCCGCGCGGATTTCCGCCTTCATCCCAACGAGGATTCTCTCTATAGGCAGCCATAGAATCGCCGCAGCCCGCGAGGTGGGAGCAAAATGGCAGACAGATTTGCGGCGCTCGCCGGCTACGACGCCGGCTCCAACTACGACTCTACACTGGAGCAGAGCCTGGCAGCCGCAACACGCGACGATTTGCCAGGACTCGAGACAGTGGCCAGCATCAACCTCGACCTTCCACCGTCCAAGCCGCTCAACAGCACGTTTGGCAAGTCCAAGAAGCCCAGCGCAGCCGCCGAGCGCGCCAGGCGCATCACTTCGGGCCCCATGGACCTTGGCACCGGCCGATCGCGCTCGCCGCCTCCGCACGACTCGTCCGCCAGCTCGTCCAACAAGGAGAATGCACGTCAGCAAGAGCCTCCCTCCACGCAGCGCAAGCAGGAGCAGCGAAGGCACTACGGCGTGCGCATCGCCGAAGACGACACCTTTGACGAACTCGAAGACAGCCTCCAGCGCGGCCACCAGCAAGATGAGCTGCAGCGCATGCAGCAAGACATGTCGCAGGGCGGCGACTCGCTGCTCGCCGCCTCCCCGGCCAACGACTCGGGTCAGTGGGGCGCGCGCGCCATGCGCCGCCGCTCCGCAGCAGGCGTGTCGATGAAGTCGGCTCAGGAGAAGATCAACAACCTCACTCAGGAACGTGACGAGCTCAAGATCGTCGTCGACCTGCTGCGCGAAAAGGTTTCGCTCGACGACAGGCTAGCGGAACTCATAGTCCTCAAGAAAGAGAAGCTCTCGTACACTAACAAGATGATCGCGCAGCAGGCCATGCTCAAGCAGCAAGACCGTGCGATCAAGGTGCTTCAGAAGGAGCAGCAGCAGTGGAAAGGCGGCAACCCTGCTGCGTACGAGCAGCGCATCTCCGAGCTGCAGGCCAAGCTCGTCGCGGCCGAGAACAAGGCCGAGGAGGAGAGGCGCGAAAAGGTCCGCCTGCAAGACGAGCTCGACTTTGTCAAGCGACGCGGCCCGCCTCCGGGAGCTCCGGGCGACGAGACATCGGCCACCTCGCTCGGCGACTCGACTCGCTTGCGGCAGCGCATCGACACGCTGCGCGACGAACACGAGGACGAAAAGTACGAGCTGCGCAGGGAGCGCGACGAGGTGCAGGAGCAGCTCGAGCGCGCCCGCGACGAGATCGACCACCTCCGCTCGGCACAGCGTCGCTCGTCGTCGCCGACTGAGACATCGCACTACCGACGCAACATCGACGATCTCGAACAACAGCTCACCGCGCACAAAACCGAGAACGCCAAGATGCTCGAGCGCCATGCACAGCTGGTCGCCGACATCGAGCAGCACAAGGACGAGCTGTACGAGCTGCGCTCGTCCGAGGAGGCGCTTCAGCGTGAGCTCGACGTGGCCAACCAGCGGCTCGAGCACGCCAACATCACGCAGGAAGACGAGGCGGCGCGCTTCGCCGAGGCCGAACGTCTCGCCGCAGACCGCTACCAGGACCAGATCGACAAGCTGCGCGACGAGCTCGCATCGGCGCAGCTCCAGATCGACGGCAAAGAGGCCGAGCTCGAAAAGCTGGATGGCGAACTGCAGGATCTCACCGCCAAGGTGGCCGATCTCGAGTACGAGCTGCGCCAGGCCGAGACGCTGCTCGAGGAGCAAAAGGTGCAGCTGGAGGGCGTCGAGGCCGAGGCGGACGAGTTGGATCGCCAGGTTCAGGCGTACAAGCAGGAGGCCGACGAGCTTCGCGCCGAGGCGGACGAGCTGCACAAGGAGCTCGAATCCAAGGACGCCGATCTGGCCGAGACGAACAAGGAGATGCAGGAAATGTCCAACCGCATGTTTGGCCTCGAGGAGGAGCTCGAAGCACGCGCCGACGAGATCAAGCAGCTCGACGAGGAGATCGCCAAGGTGGAGGACGCGTTGCAGCAGGCCAACGAGAAGCACGAGCGGCACACAGGCGTGCTCAAGGAGAAGCTCGTGCTGGCTACGCAGGAGCTCACGGGCACTCAGGGCCAGCTCGAGGCGACGCTCGGCGAGCTCGAGGCGATGCGCGAAGAGGCCGACACGTATGCGCGCGAGGTGGAGCAGCTCACTGCAGAGCGTGCGCGCCTCGAAGATCTCAACGCCAAGCTGGACGCCAAGGTGTCCGATGTAGTGGAGGACCTCAAGGCCGAGGAGCGGGCGCTGGACGATGCGCATGCCGAGTGGGAGCGCAAGCTCGAGGAGGTCGAGGAGCGCATGGCACGCGTGGTGCGGGACAAGGACGAGGCGATCGTGTCGCTAGAGAACGAGCTGAACCAGATGGAAGACGACCTTGCTACGCGCAAGGCCGATGTGCAGACGCTGCAGGATGCGCTGCGCACCAAGGAGAACGAGTCGTTCCGCATCGGGCAGAGCTCGGCCAACGACAAGTACAGCCTGGAGCTCGAGATCGACCGTCTGAAGCGCGACCTTGCGCGGTGCGAGGATGACCTGGCGCGTGCGCGCAAGGAGCTCGACCGCAAGGACGACGTGCTGCGCCACAAGGAGGATGCGCTCGCACAGATGCACTCGGAGCTGCGCGAAGCGCAAGCCAAGCTCGCGAGCGAGATGCAGAGTCACCTTGGCCTGTCGGAGCGCTTCGAGGCGCAGCAGAACGCGGTCAAGGCCGAGCGCAAGGAGCTCGACGCGGCGCGTGCCAAGGTGGAGGAGCTAGAGCACGAGCTGAACAACGGCGAGCGAGCCAATCTGCGCTCCGAGCAGGCGACGCGCAGTGCGCTCGACCAGCGCAATGCGCTGCTGCTCACCATCTACACGCAGATGGGCAAGCTGCTGGCATCGGCGTCGGCGGACGGCAATGCGACGCCGCGGAAGCGCGAGGCGGAGCTCAAGCCGTTCACCAACTTTGACGTCTTCCACACGAGCCTGCTGGGTCGGCTGCGACGCGTGTTTGACACGCAGCTGGGCGTGGACCAGAAGGCCAAGGAGCTCGAGGCGAAGCTGCTGGAAAAGTACAATGCGCTCAAGCGGCAGCAGGACACGCGCTTCCGCCAGATCGACCGGTTCGAGGCGTCGATCAAGGTGGCGACGGACAAGCAGGGGCAGTGGCGGCAGCGGCTCGTGTCGAAGCAGGCGGAGCTGGATGCGGTCAAGGCGACGAATGGCGAGCTGCTGCAGCAGATCTCGTCGCTCAAGACGCGCAATACGCTGTCGACGCCCGCGGACAACACCAAGCTCACGGCGCTCACCACGCGCGCCAATACGGCAGAGCGGAGGTTGCAGACGGCGCTCTCGCAGGCGTCGCAGGCGGAAGAGCGTCTGGCGGAGGCCAAAGTCAAGTACGGCGAGGGCGAAGGCAAGTGGGCGGCGAGGATCAAGGAGCTCGAGCTGCGGTGCAAGGCGGCCGAGGAGCGTGTCAAGCGCGAGAGGCAGGGCGCCAAGGAGAGGGTGGCCGAGCTCGAGGAGATCCGACGCAAGCTCGAACGCGATCTGGACGCCGCCACCAAACGCAACCGCCTCGTCGGCGATCTGCAGGCCAACGTGCGCAACATCAATTAGCGCACGGCGCACCTTGTCTTTGTGTTGCCCTGCTTCTCACACTCGCTCAACGCTACGGAAAGCTACAAGGCTCGGATGTATCTGTGTAATTGTATCATGCTCGATCGGATGTACACCGGGCAGCGTGATGATATCGGCCCAAGTTGGCGGGGTCTGTGCGAGCAAGGAAGTCGGGTTGGAAGTTCAAGTGTCGTGCGAAGGGAGGCTGCATGGGGATGCATGGTGTGAAGCAGGCGGGATTGTTTGCTTTGATCGTCCAACCGAGACGGCAGAGCCCTGCAGTTGGCAAATGCAGCAAATGCACCGCAGGCAAGCGAGTCAGGGCCAATGCTTGCGCACGGTGAACGGGCGATGCATGATTGCGCTGCAGAAGCCCAAAGGATGCAGCAGTTGCAGCATTTCGGTCAGTCACAATTTCTTAGATGGACGTTACATTCCCGTGCCGTCGAGTCGGCACCGAGAGGCACGCGATGGTCGATCGAATCGTGCAGACTTGCAAATGGACGCTTCTGGGGCGCGCCGATGCATTCGGGTAGATTCCCATCCAACCCGACGTGTCCGAGCTGCTAGCCACCTCGCCCTTTCCTCCTCCCGCCGCTGCAGCCATCGTACTGTAAGCGGGAATGGAACTCCTTCAGGGGGATCAAGGGGGCGACGGACAAGGGATAGGGGGGAGGAGAGGAGGACCAGAGGACTAGAGGAGTCGAGGTCGCGGATGCGAATCCGTTCCCATGCGAGGGTCTTCTCCGAGGTGCATGGGATGGTTTGGCGGCGCGCGTCGTCCTTGGTGCGTCTTTTTGCCGAACCGCTCTTTCTCGCGTCGCGTAAAGTGGCCGATTGGGTTCTCTCTCACGCCACGCGCCTTACTTTCAGGAGGTCACATTTTGCAGTCTTGCCGATCCGCACTTGTCCAACGCGACGCGAACGCTGTAAGCGAGAGGAAGGAGGCGGGCGCGCTAGAGGGCCGAGACGCGTAAAGTAGAATGCAGGGAGCGCGAAAAAGCGCATGCATGTTTCAGTCTGACTTGCAGCCCATCCCTTCCTTCTCTTGCCTCGCGCCTCTCGCCACGCCACCCCGCTGCGTGCAAATGCACGTTGGAATTTCAACCCTGCGTTCTCTTGCATCCCCGGTGGTCGCCTTGCTCTCGTTCTTTCGTTCCCAACCGCGCTTGAGCGTCCGCCCATCGTAACCAACTGCAATCCGCACATGCGACGTCCTGTCGCCTCCGATCCCTGACCTGCTGGCGGCTCGATGCGACGCAAAACCAAGTCGAAATGCGCACTTCGATCCCACCGCATTTCCTCGCTCGTCGGCCCTCAAAGCCGCTCTACCGTATTCTTGGCCCCGATTGATTGTCTTTTCTTCCTCGCAGACTCCGCGAGCAGAGGGGTGAGGAAGTGGGAGTTGACTTTCGCCGCTCGGGACCAGACGAGTACGTCGCCAGCCTTTGACGAACGACCGTTTGGGTTGTGGATTGGAATCTCGCTCGAGCGTCGATGCAAGTGCGGGGAAGCCGAGGTCGAAGATAACTCGTCTAGGCTCGTTTTTCCAGTTGCATCTGCCCAATCGAGCTGCGACTGCATGCCGCACCAGATCGGAATTTCGACGAGAAGATGCTGAACTTGTCCAATTTTAGGCTTTTTCTTTTTCTCTAAAAACGATCAGAAAGCCGTCGGGGTGGCAGCCATGGGTCCTGCCAAATCGATCTTTTGGCCCGTCTGGCAGACTCACGCGGGGAGCTCGAGCCAAGTCGACGATGCGAGCGTCTACCCCAGGACCGTCTGGGCTCGGCTGGCTTGAAATGGTTCCCATGCAGCCGCCCATGTCAGTCGCCGGGTGCTAGCTCAAGCCCGAGTCGCCATCTTCGCCACCGAGTGCAAATGAGCCGCATTTCGCTAGTTTCGCAGCTAGCACAGCACTGGCGCACCGACTTTTGGACATAGTGTAAGAATGTGCTTTGCCTGGTGGTCAAGGTGGTCGATGCGGCCGACTGCTTGGGCGCAAGACAAGTGCATCACTGTGTGTAGAGGATGAAGAGGACCACTCGGACGACTCGGACGGGCAGGCAGGACGCGGCCAAAGCAGGAAAGGCAGGCAGGCACGCGGAGGCTGAAATCTCAACCAATGCATGCATGACAAGCGCCCGCCTTCCAGCCATCCAGCCGTGTCGGAGTCGAGAGCGCGAGAGGCGTTTGGCTTTCGTTGGGCAGTGGCTTGATCCCCGAACTCTCTGCCTCGCTGTAGCCACCGCTGAATGAGCCTTGGCCGGGGCTTGACCCGCTCAAGCAAGCAAGCGCCAGTTGGCATCGGATCGCTGTCAGCCATTTACAGAACCTCACCCGTTCCCTCGAGATAGACGAGGGGAGCGTTGAATGCCTGCCGGCCTCCGGTCCTGCGGTATCGTTGGTCGCTTCTGCTTCCGCCGCTGCAGTTGGAGCGATTGCGTGCGTTCCTGTTCCTGCTGCTGGCCAACTCTGCATGACTTGGCTCGAAGCGTCGCCAGCTGATCCACCGCTCCTGCACGAGCCCTCTGGTGCTGCTTCTGCTGCTCCTGCTGCTGTTGCCGCTGTCGAGATTGAGCATCTACTCTCTCGCGCTCGTGCCTGCCTGCAACGCCGGTCGTGGTCAAACGACTGCTCGGTCTGCTCCGCTGCGCCGCTCCTGCAGGCGATCTCCACAGCGTGCGTTTGATTGCGCTTGTCGTATGCAGCCCAGCTGCACTCGGTCTCATCTGGGCGCTCGTTCTTCCTCGTCTCCTCCAGCCAGGAATGCCCGCTCCGGCCCGCCTGCATTCCGTACGTCGAGCCAGCTGAGATTCGCTCTCGCTTCCTACCCTCATCCGTCCGTCGTTGTTGCCGTTGACCATCATTATCACCATCACCATCAACCACCACCACGGCATCGTGTCCACCACCCACTATCCCTTCTAGCACCGGCAATCCCCCCTACTTTCCCCTCGTCACCGCGGATCCTCATCGAGTCTCGACCACTTTCATCGCCAGCGGCTCCAGCTCTGATCGCTTGGAACGATAGGCACCGTCAGCCGCATCGCTCTTGATTGTCTGCCAGCATTCTTTCAGCGCCGTTGTATACACTCGAAGCTCCTCGGCCTCGTCACGACCTCCCCCACACTCTCTACTTCTTGCCCCTTTCCTACACCTGTTTTCGCTTGCGCAAGTTGTTCGGCTCAACCCCCTTCGACATCACCGACACCACCGCTGCAGTCACGTCTTTTGTGGTACTGCCTTCGACCGTGCATACCCTGTAGTGCCGTATCGCATCACCATCTCCGTTGGCTGTCGGCCATTCCCGTTTCGTCACGCGCATATTCTTCTGACGCACAATTGGATCGCACGCACGCACACACGCGCCGACGCAATTGGCACACGGTCCAAAGTGGGAAAAATCCAACTGCATCGCATCACACCGCATCGCTCCACGCAGCAGTCACAGTTTCGCCTGCCAAACAGCCCAATCAGCCTTTCCAACCTCGCTTGTCGCATTGCACCCTTTTGCAGTGTCACATCGCTTCACGTCAAAAGCCCACCACCGCCTGGACCCACCACCGCATACGCTGCGTGAAATCGCCAGCGGCAGCTTTCGGCACGCCCGCCTGCCCTTGAACCCCCTCCTCTCTCCGTACTGTCACGCTGCAGCTCTCGGTGCCTCTCTTGTTTCCTTTCCGCTTCCTTGGCTCGCCCCCTTTGCACTCCTCCCTTTGCATCTTGAAGATCTTCCGGAGCTGCGCTTGCTTGCCAAGGCTGCTGCACTTGCACTCGACTCTGCCCTCCGGTCCCGCAACAATCTTCGTAGGCTCTACCGCTGGTCGATAGTCGTCTCTCGCTTTCATCGTTGCTTTTCGGCACAAGGAAACGTCCCACCAGGTAAGTCGAATCTTTTCCCAACGAGCCTAAGGATGGTGGGGTCGAGGCCGTCAATGAAGTCGGCCTGGCCCCACGCGACCGCTTTGCCGCGGTGCCTTGAAGTCATGTCATCATGCGCATACGCAGCCATGCATGCATGCCCGCCCATGCCGCCTCTAAGAGCACCTTCTAGACGCAAATTTTGCAACCTTGCGCTTCCGCTCCCTCCCCACCGCCCATGGCCGTCTCCTTCACATGTTCCCGCCAGTCGCTCACAGAGGACCCTGTCGCTAACATCTATCTATCTCCTACTACACTGCATTCCCCTGCCGAACTCGTCATCGCAACCTTGACTGCCTTGTCGATCCCTCCTCGACACCCAGAGTTGCAAGCGTCGATCTGGACACCATGGCGGGCGCACTTTCGCCCTCGATGATCAACATTCAGGTCCCCTTTGCAGATGCAGGTCATCTCAAGGCACCTGGCTATCTTTCCCAGCCCACCAGCTCGGCTCCATCGCCGCAGAAGAAGCAGCGCCGTTCGTCTCCGAGCAAGGGTCGCTCGCTCACACCCTCCATGTCGGCATCCTCTTCGTCGCCCCTCAAGAAGGGCAGGACTGGCTTCAAGCGCACAACCAGCACCGCCAACATCATGGACACGGTCATGAACTCGAGAGTGGCTACCGATCACGACGCTGTGCCTGCCTTCCGCCTTGGCATTCCCACTTCCACCTCCAACATCTTCGAGTACAGCCGCTCGTCGCCCATCGCCTCGTCGTCCCAGACCACCTTGGCTGACCTCGAGAATGATGAGGCCGCCAACGTGCTCTCCACGCCTCGCCGCGGCAAGCGCGTCGGCAACGTGCACATGGGCTGGGAGTCGCCCCTCGATGCCGATCAGACTCCCACCGCCGCCTCGGTTGCTGCCACGGCTCCTCACACGCTGCCCAAGTCGTCCCGCACTCGGGCTTCCGCGCAGAGTGTCAGCGTCGAGGCTTCGCCTTCCAAGCGCAAGGCATCCACCGCCTTTGCCTCGGAGCTGCGCCTATCGCGACGCAGCCTCGTCGACACGGCCGGATGGGCTTCGGCCGCCATGATCAGCTCGGTGCCCCTCGCCGAAGACCGCATCAACAGCTCGCCCGGCTTCTCCCCTCGCTTCATCGCCGAGCCCGCTATGACTGGCCTGGTCAACGCTGAGACCCGCGATCCACTTGCTGCCTTCACCAACGATGCGTCGCCAGTGTGCAGCCAGAACCCAAGGCTCGTGCCTGTCGAGGTCGAGGGCCTTGGTCGCGTTGCCGTTCATCCGGACTTTGCGCAGCAGATCGCCGAATCGCCTCGTGCCGCGCAGTCTGACGCACACCGACGATTCTCCACTGCCTCGGAGCGCGAAGCTGCCTTGCTTCGCGGCTCGGACTCGGAAGATTCGGCCGCTCGTAGCGAGAACGGATCCTCGACGGATCCGACTTCAGCAGGCACACCATGCCCCTCGGGCGTCTCGCCCAGTTTCTCGCTCTCCTCGCAGTTCCCCTGCTCGGAACCCATCTCTCCGACCAAGAAGGGGGCCACATCGGCATCCTACGCCGAACACCACGCAGCCGATACACAAAAGGCGCTGTCTGCGCTCATGCGCGTCGCTCCGACCGACGCCATGGCGCAGCAAAAGCTCTGGTGCCCCCGTCTCGGCGGCAGCGCCGCTACCGTCGTTGCCAAGCTGCCCACCCTCGATTGGCCCGATCGTCCCGACGGCCCCTGGTCTGCTGCCGGGCGCCACATCGACGAGCTCAAGCAGAAGCGGCGCCAGGGAATCCAGCGCTGGCTCGAGTCGGATTCCGCCGACGAGACCCAAGAGGACGCTCAAGAATCGTCGGGCGCCGCCTACCGCCACCATCCAATGGTGGCCAAGGCCTTGCTCGACCGCGCCCGCAAGCAACACCGCACTCAGGTGTCTGCTGCCACTGTTGCTGCCGCCAGAGCCGACTCTCCCTCGAAACGCGGCCGCAAGCCGAAGCAGCCGCACCTCTTGCACGTGCACGAGACCCCGTCCAAGCGTCGCGGACGCAAGCCCAAGGTGGCTGCCTCCATCGCCAGCTCGTCGCGCAAGTCGGTGGCGACGGGTGCCTCGCTGGCGCGATCCAACACGAGCGCCATCATTGGCTGCAGGTGCGGCATCGACGACGACTCGATCATCATGGTCCAGTGCGACGGATGCCGCAGCTGGCTCCACCTGCCCTGCGTCGGCGTCAACACGGTCAACGACCTCGACGACGAATGGTACTGCGACGACTGCTGCGACGCCGCGCTCACCGAGCATCTCTCGCCCGCCTCGTCCATGCCCACCTCGATCGGATCGTACGCGCATCTCAGCACGCCCGAGGCACTCGAAGCGGCACTGGCTGGCCAGGAGCCCGTCTTCACTCTGCCGAGCGGCACGCCCATCCACCGCTACGGTGTGGCGGTGTCGTCCTCGATCGCCCTGGCGCCCAGCCCGCCCCTGCTGTCGGTCGGCGACCGTGGCGGTCGCAGCACGGCCAAGCGCCAGGGCCAGGGTCGATCGCGTGCGGAGCGTGTTGGTTGGAGGATCAACGAGCCAGGCTCGCCGCTCGCGCGCAAGAGCACCACCGCCTCGTCGGGCGTGCGACCGGCGGTCCCCGAGACGCCGTCCAAGTCGAGCGAGGCGACCGTCGACTTTACCGATGCCAGTGCGACGCCCAGCCTGCTTGCCGGCTTCTCGCGAGCCGACTGGGAACCGACCCGCGCTCGCAGGGCGTCGGAGCGTCAGACGACGCCCACTCGCGTGCTCGGCATGAGCACGCCGAGCCGCCACGCTTCGGGACGCAAGCCAAGCCACTCGGGACCGCTGTCGCTCGGTCTGTGCGACGACGAGCCGCCGCACGCCGATCTTTTCTCGACGCCTTCGCGACTGGCATCGGGCGGCTCGTGGGCCTACCGCGCCGGTGGTCAGCCTCTGGGTAGCCAGACGCCCTCGCGCTCGGGCGGCCGACACCAGCGCATCGACTCGTTCAGCGGTGGCCTGCTCTCGACGCCCGGTCGCGACTTCCTCTCGGGCGCTTTCGGAACCGAGCCATCCACCAGCATGCCAAGTCTCGTGTACAGCAGCGGCTACATTGATGGGCTCGACGACCATCTCAGCGGCGACGGCTTCTACAGCGGCAGCAACAGCCGCGCTTGGCAGCTTCAGTCGCCCACGTCGAGCACGCGCGCCGCCAGGGCGAGGCAGCCTTCTGGCTTTGGCACGCCGTGGTCCAGCTCGCTGCTCAAGACGCCCGAGCTGCAGCCACGACAGGCACACACGTCGTCGGTGCGTAGCGGCAGGTACGACACGAGCGACGACTTCCCGCCCTCGTCCTCGCCGTTCCCCCGCACTCCGACGTTCGACATGAGCAGCCCGCGTTTCACGCCGCATGGTTCGCACCACAGCTCGGGCGCGCTCGAGCGCCACCCGAGCCACCTGGGACTTGGACTGCCCTCCAGTTCCTCGGCACGACTGCACAAGGCGCTCGGTGCCGACCTGCACAAGGGCGGTGCCAGCCGCGACGACAGGTCGCTTTCGGCCAGTGCGCACGCCAAGCACAGGCAGGTGTCCACCGAGGTGCCCATGGGTCTTGGTATCGGTCTCGACCTCGACGACGTCCTGGACTGGTCCTAGTCGGGCGTCTTTCTCGCATGTCCGCCCGCACACAGCATTGGCCCCATCCTTGTCTTGTCGCCCCTGTTTCCTTTGCATATCTCTGCATCTCGGCGCCTCGCATCTTCTCGAGACATCGTCTTTCCACTCTTCACGCCGTATTCGGCGCACCGTTAATTCAAGGTCATGGTTTTAGCTTTGCTTGTTGGTCCTCGCACTGAGGACTCTGGATTGTGTGACTACCACAGAGGGTGGAGGAGAGGCTATGGTGTGAGCTCTTCTCAGCTTGTTCTGTGTTGCAGCTGCATGGGTGAATTTGTGAGAGGTCGGAATTCGGGCAGGAAGGCAATGCGCGGGTTGGTGGAGGACAAAAAGTGTGGAGGCCACCACCATCATCTCGACAGGGTAAGCGTCGATACAGCAAGGCACTGGGTGGAACGAGTCGGACCAAGGATGAGCGAGGATGGCCAGGATGTGCGGGCGTTACGGCGCGGCTTTGAGGCGGTGACGCAAGGCACGCGGCGGTTTGGGAGCCGCGACGAGGTGCTGCGTTTCTATGCTGCGCCGCTCGCGCGGCTATTTGGGCCGGACCAGCTGGGTGCGCTGCAGGTCTTTGGGCCAGAAGCGTCGGACAACGTGGACGTTTTGCTGGTCGAGGCAATGCAGGAGTCGCTGCTGGTGCGACTGGGTGTCGACTGGGCAACAGCGCTGGGTGCGGCGTGGAAGACGCTGCTCGAGCTCACGTTCTTTGGGTCGGCGGCCGAGTCGTGCGCGGGGCAGGCAGGGATGGTACAGCAGTGTGCGCTGCGAACCGTGTCGCGCGTGCTGGCAACAGCAAGCGGCGAGACGCTCGAGCAGACGGTGCAGCTCTGCGTCACGGCAAGGGAGAGGATCTCGCTAGGCGCAATGGTGGCGGCAGTGGGGGCGGAACCCAACCGGGCACGGGCACGCGTAGCGTGGACGGAGGCATTGCGGCTCCTAGGCGCGCTGCCGGACAGAGTGGCCAACACTACCAAGGGAGATGTTCCTCAGACGCTCAGGGGCGAATGTTGGATCGATGCAACGCTCGTGCGCGGGCTGGGCGATGCTCTCCAACACGCCACCGACAAGCCCGAGGTCGAGCTGCTCAGAGATGTGCTCGTCAGGCTGGACAGGTCAGGACATCTGTCGCGTGCGGCCGACTCAAGCACCGCCGGGTTCTGGCCAACGATCCTCCGTACAACAGCGACGAAGAGCACAACGACAACTCAGTGGGCGAAACTACGCCGTGTCGCGGGAAGCAGCTTACGCAAACGTCTCGACACGACGCTGCTGCAGACACTTCAACATGCAGCGATGCGCGGCTTCGCAGGTACACTCGTCGCACCGACAGAGACGGGCAAGCCGGGCACCGAGGGGAGCGCATTTCTCTCGTCTGCAACCCACGCTGTCGTAGCCGCATCCGCCCACGTCATGGGCATCTTCATCCCGCCCAACTCACCCGCCGACGAGAGCGACTCGGACACCGATACCGAAGCTCTGCACTACGTGCGCACGCTCAAGTGCACCGCGCTCAGCCGTGTCTCGCAAAGCCCAGTGCTCGCGTGGGCATGGGCAACCTACCTTCTCCGCGCACCTGTGCGTGACCGGCTCGACTGCCTGACAGCCGCACTCGGGCGGTGGGCAGACACGGCGCGACTCGCGCGCGTGCTCGTCGACGAAGAGCTGTTCCTCTCCACCCTCATCGTGTGCATCCTCGCATCGATCGCGTCAGGGAGTCGAGAGCTGGAGGACGCGTTGGTGGCGGTGGCACACTCGCGCGCCGTGCTCGACGGGGTGTCGGCGCACCTGGCACACGCTGACCCGCTCGTGCGTCGCACGGGGATGCTGGTGGGCGAACTGCTCAGCGAGCGCACCGCGCGCCCAGGCGGTAAGACGCTCAGCTTCGGCGCGGCCATCTGGAACGGCACCGGCGAGGGCCGCGAGGAAGCGCGCGTGCTGCGCGCGCTCTACCATGCCTGGTCGCACCATTCGGACGCCATCGCAGTACGCGCCGCCACGTTCAAACACGACAGCGCCGCCGTAGATACGCTGTTCGGGCCCCAACAGGTGGTCGCTTCATCCACATTGATGAGTACAGTGCGAGCGGAGAGGAAGAGATCCGACGGGCCAAAGACGAGACGACTGCCGCAGAGGGTGGACGCGAGAGACACGCGCACCCGGCCACTGATCAGTGTCATTGGGGACTCGGATGACGAGGCGCCGCTCTCGGTATCGTCGCCACGCGAAGGCCCATTGCGCATGTTTTCGAACCACGTTCGACCGCACACTCCGAGCGAGTCCTCGTCGTCCTCATCCGACTCGGACAGCGACGCCGACGATGCGGACCAGCACGAGATGCACAAGCTCGCCGCCGACCTAGCTGGAGTGAGCACCGACGACGCCGCGTCGCTCTTCGCCTCTGCCAAACCCTCTTCTTCCCGCGCTACGGCCGGGGTTGGCGACATGGATGCGGACCGGGAAGCGCATGCGCCGCAGTTCGACAAGCGTGTGCGCGCGCCCGTGTACGTGTCGCAGCTGGCGCCTCTGCTGAAGACGTCGTCGCGCCAGTCGGTGCGGATGGGGCTGCGGAGTGCAGCGGCGCTGGTGGCGCGCAAGGCCCCCACGCGTACGTTTGGCGGCGAGGTGGATGAGAACGCGGTGGACCTCACGCTGGCGCTGGCTGCGCTGCACGACAACTTTGGCATTCGACGGTTTGAGGACATGCGGCGCGCAGCGCTGGTCGAGGTGGCGTGTGCGGCGCCCGTGCGCGTGGTGGGCGTGCTGACCGAACAGGTGTTTGGGAGCCAGTACAGCGGGGTACAGCGCACCGCGATGCTGTATGCGCTCACCGAGGCGGCGGTGCGGCTGTCCAGAGCAGAGCAGCACGGAAAGGCAGGGCACAGGGCGGAGGCGGTAGCCGCGCGCGTCGTCAGCGATACACGGCGCGTGGGCGAACAGCGTGTACCGCAGCTGCGCCGCGAACGTCAGTTGCGACTCGACACATCCCGGACCACACTCGTGCAGGAGATCCGGCCCGGCACGTCGCTTGCGGTCGATCCGGATGGGCGCGGATGGGCGGCGATGGCGGGTGCGTTTGTATTCCCACTGCTCAACCGATATCTTGCGTACCAAGCACTACCTTCGCGCGGGTCGCTCTTCGAACCGGACTCGCTCGCACTGTTGTTCGATACGCTCGGCGTACTGATCTCGCTGGCGCCAGCTACGGTGCTGCGTCCCCTCGGCCCGGTGCTACTCGAAGCGCTTGCCACGCTGCTTATCTCGCCCTCGGCAGGGCCCGAGACAGCAGCAGCACTCAGCGCCCTCGCGATCTTTCTGCACGCCCACCTCGAGCTCGATAGTGCGGCGTCGCTGCTCAACGACCGCACGAGCGTGCGCATGCTCAAGACACTCCTGCCGCGCGTCCAGATGCTCTTCACCCAGCTCAACGCGCACACGGGCGGGACGCCCGCCAAAGTCGCCGCGCGCGCAGCCACCGTGCTGCTCCAAATGGACCAGCTGGACCAGGCCCAGACGCAAACCATCCAAAACACACTCGGCTTCATCCCCGCCTAAACCCCCTCACACAGCTCTTTGCCAGTGAAAGCAAAAACCCAACTCTGTTTCAAAACATGACCACGGCTGTGCGCGCGACTTCACTTCTTCTTCTTCTTGGCTGCGCCTGCGGCTGTGGGGGTGCCGCCACGACTGCTACCGGCATTGCTGGCGGTGTCCAGCTGCCTCTTCTTGCCGCCCTTGGTGGCCTTTTCCTCCTCGTCCTCCTTGAGCACGAGCAGGAGGAGCGTGTTGCATCGTCGACCGAGCTCCTGCGGCGTCCTGCTCTTGATGAACCAGTCGAACCTAAACCCGGGCCACTGCATGACGTCCTTCTTGATGCGATCGTACGCATCGCCCTCTCCCAGCCCGTACTCGGCGAGCTTGACCAGCAAGAAGCGGTCCTCGTCCTCGGAATAGCTCTTGCCCTTGTTCTGGCCGTAGTGCAGCTTGAGCTGCAGCAGCGGTTGGCGGTACGAGTTGACCTTGCGCCGCAGGACGGCCTCGTGGTGGTGCTGCTTGAGCAGCTTGGCCTCGCCCTCGTCGATGCGCGCGAGCAGCTTGGCATGGTCCGCCAGCTCGTCGATGCGCTCCCAGAACACCTTTGCGTACTCGCGCACCTCCTTTTCCGTCTTGCTCGCATCGGGCATGTCGGCGGCGATGAGCGCGTACGCCTTGCGGCCATAGCGCTCGCAGCCGCGCACGAACGTCTGGAACTCTCGGCGGTTCCAGTGCGCGAACCCCTGCTGCGCTAGCTGCTCCTTCTCCTCTACCTCTTCCTCGGTGAGCGCCTCGGCGGTGTCGATGAAGTCCTGCTCGCGCTTGCGCTCCTCCTCGACGTCGTCGGCAGTCTCGCCCTCGGCCGGCTCGCGCAGCGGCACGCGGTAGCCGATGGAACGCTGGTACGCCGCCGTCTCGCGCTCCTGCAGCTCGCCCAGCCGCGCCGGGTAGAACTGGAAGTCGTTGATGTTGATCTGCTTGGGCGCACGCGGCGCCTTGGGCTGCGTCGGCTTGGGACCCACGCGCATCGCATCGCGGTAGTAGTTGTCGATCGAGTAGTTGGCCTTGCGCTCGCGCTTGCTCGGCTCGATCCACAGCTGCCCAATCGGCTTGCGCTCCGAAAAGTTGCTCCCCTCCCAGTTGTACACCGTGTCGGACTTGAAGTTGTTGAGGTCGTCCAGGTTGAGGCTCTGGTACTTGGCCTGGATCTCCTGCGTGCGCGTCTCGCCCGACTTGATGATCTCGTCAATGTCGTCGTCGATCGACATGGTGTCCTTGCTCGTGATGATCTTTTCGGCGCCGTGCTGGATCATGCCCACCAGATCCTCCTTGGACTGTGCCGCCTTGGCCGCCTGCTGTGCGCGGCCCTGCTGGATGACAAGCTGGTCCAGACGCAGCTTCTGCGCCGCGCGCTCCAGGATGCGCTCCTCGATGGCGTTTTCGGTGAC